TGCATGGTCGCAGCCACCGTCTCCAGCCCCGGACCGCAAGAGTCAGTGGCGCTCTCGGCCCGTCTTCTGGTCGCGGTCCCTCTGGTGGCGGCTGCCTCCGGTCTGGAGTCCCTTCCCAGAGGAGGACCGGCGCGGCAGGAGGAGGTGCGGACGCTCCCGGGCGATGAATGGGCGGCGCGCACAGCCCGGACACGCGCGCAAAGTTGTTGCTCCACTCCAGGCACCTGCTCCGCACACTTTAAGCGTCGCCCTGGGGGCGGGCGGTGGGAATGGGGCCGGCGAACGCTCGGCCAATGGGAGTGAACGGAGGGTAGGGGGCGGAGGCGGACCCCACCCCGCCCCTTCTCCCTGCCCCCTTTTCGGGCGCTGGCTCCCGGCATCCTCAGTTATTCCTGCTCCATCTCTGGCTGGTGGCAGATGCTGAGGCACACCAAGTGGGGACGCCAGTCTGGGATCTTGCTCACGCGGGATCCGGGTGGACGGCCGCGGGCGAAGTGCCTAAGGGACTCGACGGAGATGGAAGGTGATTCTGACCCGGAGGCCAGACACTTTGAGTTGGTCAGTTTCCATGCATTAATGTTGGAGTACCTTGCCCTCTGTGTCTCATGGAAACCAATGTGGGCAGATGAGAGTTCTCTTATAGTGTAGGATGGTGGGCAAGTTACTCAACCTCCACCTCTGAGCTTCAATTTTGTCATCTCACAGAGTTGAATGGAATTTAAAAATAGATTATACACATATATGTATATTCTGTGTGTGTATATATATTGTGCATGGGAAAATACAATATATATTAAGGTGTACATTTTGCACTATCATCTTAGTTGGAAAATTATTTATACCTAGGTATTTTATAAATCTAAGCTCTCTATCTCTTGAGATTTTTATTAAAAGACAACTTTCAAACTTCCAATCGTCCTTCTAATATGAGGAAGAGAGTGGGACCAAAATCATCAGAACATTACTCGTACTTAGACTAGGGCAAAAGAGAACCTGACCTCTTGCTCTTCCTCTTCTCTAAGCTTACTCCTTTAATCATGCTCCGCATACTCTGGGTTCTGGAGCTGACTGGCACAGAGACTGGGGAGAGGCAGAAAAGTATAAAAGCTAGAACACTAGGCAATATGTGTGTGTGTGTGTGTGTGTGTGTGTGTGTGTGTGTGAGAGAGAGAGAGAGAGAGGGAGGGGAGATGTTATTAATCTTCTGATAAAAAGATACACTTGTGTGAGCACTGGAAAATGGGATAAAAGCAGAAACTATTGTTTTTGTTTCTCTGGCAACAGCACACAGATGCATGGGTGGTAGCAGACAAGAAGTACTTCTTTACCAATCACTCACAATGGAAGCGCAGGGCCGCTGTTCTCACAATGGAAATGTCCTGTGGTTTTCCAGCCTAGGTGGCAGCAAGAATATTTTGCTGTCCTGGACTACAGACAGCTTCAGTGATTGACCTGAAAATAGGTCTGTCTACCCTGTCTTGCTCTTCCAATCCTTCCAATGGCTGTATATGCACCTATTACTGGCATTTTAATCCTCCTGTGCTTGAAATACTTATGAGTGTTTTTATTTGTTTGTTTCCTAAATAATTTTTAACAGAGACCGTAACTAAGGCCAAAGGTGGCTTTAGAAAACTGACCCCCAAAGATAGGAATCTAGGACTAGCTATCTGACTTGGTTCTGTTTTAAGTCAATGATAACATTATCACTAGTCGAAAATGAGATCATGATAGTCTTGGGCATGAAATGGAAGCAATCACTTAAATTATCAATGGAGAATAAAGTGCCTATTGAAGACATGCCTCTGCTAGCTTAGACTCTCTGGTAGGAATGGTTTCTAGAAGGACCACTGAGAGAGCTAGTAGCTTCTGAACACCCTGGAGAGTTTACAGAATAAAATGACAGCTCAGAGAACTAGAGAGCTTCAATGCTCTAAAAGAATTTCTTAACTTCTGTAGCTGCAGAAAGTATTGACATATTAGACTCAATGTTTGATCCTGCAGATTGCCAAATTATCACAGGAGTTGAATTCACAGTCTTCTTAGGTCTTATATGTGAAAGTTTGGGATTAATTTAAAACCCAAAGACTTGGAATAGGGACATTTTGGTAGTTTGCATTGAATTTGATTATCTTGAACCCCCAAATCCCAGAGTCCTCCTTGCTTGCTGAAGCAGTCTCTCTGCCCCTCTCTGAGATACTGGCCATCCCTTGCTTGAAGATCCTATAATGGCTTCACTAAAACAGCAATCTTGCAAAGGTGTGCCAGTGTTTCTTTACCTCTATGTCCACAACCAGAATCAGATCTCCCTATTCCCCAGAAAGTTGGGTAAGACATCTGACACCAGAGGAGAAGTTTATATAGGAAAAGAATTGCAAGATACTGCTCATGTATATTGGCACTAGAGGGTTTCTGTGTAGGACTGGGTTCTAGAACAAGAAAGAAGGAATATAATATTGAAATTATTGATATATTATAGCACCAGAGATTCTAAATTCAGTGTATTAGCTCAATCAGCCAGGAGTAGCTCTTAGGATTTTCTCAGTTGATTGACTAAAACCAGACTCAACAATGGCCTTCATTAAATTAGATATTAGGTTAAGATACTAGAAATTTCTTGATATAATAGAGAAGAAAGAATCCAAAGGTTTTGTGAGATAGAAATGTTGGAATAGATTGATCACATGCAACATACTCTTCAACCCTCTCAGTGTATCTCTCAGAAGGGCAGAGAGAACAGTCAAGTCACTTCACCTAAACATCGAGAAATCTCTTGGTAAGAGGAGCAGCAGCATTCCTGTACTTCTATGCTGGCACCTGTGAGATGATGGTGGAAGATGCCACTTGTTGAAATGGGCTCCCTCATTTCAATGTGGTAGAGGCCAGTGGCAGCACTAGAACACAGAGAAACGTGGACAAGGTTGCTGTAATGGACAGCAGAGTCAGAGAGGCAATAATCAGGCTTGATCCACAGGGATCTTTGGTACTCACTAATTAATGAGCAGCCTATGATAATTTTAGTTAATCTGGTGAACCAAAATTTGATGTCACCCAAATGAAGAGAGACCCAATCTCTCAAGCAGTTATCTTACCTTATCTGGTTCATAGACCCAGAGCCTCTCAGATGAAGGGAACCTGAAGAAAGAATCCTTGAGCCCTGGCCAGGTGGCTCAGTTAGTTGGAGCTTTGTCAGGTACACCAAAGGGTTTCTGGGTCAATTCCTGGTCAGGGAACATGCCTAGGTTGAAGGTTCAATCCCTGGTCGGGGTGCATACAGGAGACAGAAGGCAACAGATCGATTTTTCTCTCTCAAGAAAAAAATAATAAAATAAATAAAATAAAATAAAATAAAAACATATCCTTGGGTGGGGATTTAAAAAAACCCTTGAGAAAAGATCTTATGATCCTGCTATAAATATACATACATATAAGATATCTGTGCCATTACCAAGTATGATGGTTAATTTTATGTATCAATTTGGATGGGCCATAGCATCCAGATATGTGGTCAACCATTCTGGATGTTTCTGTGAGAATGTTTTTGGTTGAGATTAACATTGAAATCAGGAGACTTTAAGTAGATTGCCCTCCATAAAGCGGATGGGCCTCATCCAATCAGTTGAAGACCTGAATTGAACAAAAGACTGATCTCCCCTGAGTAAGAAGGAATTTTTTGTTGTTGTTAATACTCACCTAAGAATATTTTTTCCATTGATTTTTTCCCCATTGATATTTAGAGAGAGTGGACGGGAGGGGGAGAGAGAGAAACATCGATGTGAAAGAGACACATCAATTGGTTGCCTCAGGATCGAACTTGCAACCAAGGTATGAGCCCTTGACTGGAATCTAACCCAGGACTCTTCAGTCCATGGGCCGACACTCTATCCACTGAGCCAAACTGGCCAAGGCAAGAGGGAATTCTGTAGCAGACAGCCTTTGGACTCAAACTGCAACACTGGCTCTTCTTTAGGTCTCCAGTTTGCTACCTGCTAGTGCAGATTTCAGTCTTTCCAGCCCCTATACATTAGCCAATTCTTTAAAATCTATAGATAAATGATAGATAGATAGACAGATAGATAAAATCTTATATATAATTGATACATATAAATATC